CGATATTCTACAATTTCAATTCAAGTTTTATCTACTCCGTATATTCTGCCAGATTTTTATTCAACCTCAATTTTATATTTTGAATAAATTTTAAAAGTAAATCAAGATCAAATAATATTTCATAAAAATTGAGATACTACACGGGTGTCAATTTGGCACTGCACTTTCTTAGAAATGGTTTAGAAATGTTTCAACAATAGGCTTTTTCAATAGTTCTTGAGTTCTATAGTTACCGTCTCTTTCTAAAGATTGTTTTGGGATCTAGCGTTGAGTAGGGGAAAACCTCTGTTTTGGAATCTTGGATGGACGTCCCATATGGGTGACATACGCAAATAGTAAGGAAATAATAACGTAACGGAGTGATTGTAGATCATATTTTATTATATTCGCTCGTGTGTGCTATCTCGTACAATATATATTTATATAATATATATAATTTATGTATGAAGGTGTTAGTATGAATGTATGCATTTATGTATGTGACGATGTATGTAGGTACAACGCTATGTTATATATACATATCGTATTAACGTATATCGTGTGTAAGAACGTCGAAGTCGTTGGGATTCTTGTAAGATATTTACTGAACGCGTGAAGGGCGTCATGCTTGTTTTCATCTTTATCCAAATACATCTACACGTAGCGCATACAGCAGAGGATGGATGTGCAAAGTATTCGATTAGATTTACTGTATTAAGATTATTAAACTTCTGCACACCGGGTTCATTCACTGCACGTTAATACCTAACGAGAACCTACTCCCTAGATATGTTATTGAAAACCATAACCGAGATGCCTTTCCTTCTGTTATTGTGCCTTTTCTTGTTTTCTTTGGCAAGAAAATACCAAAGAAAACATTAGCTGCATGTTTTTACAATTAACAACTTGATGGATTGTCGGCTAGTAATGTATTCATTATATGTCTGCTGTGTCTCTCTTACTCGCGCGTAGCTAGCAAAAGATTCGTAATTCCAAATTTAACCCTCTTCCTTCATTAATCAATACAATGTAATGTCTGTGTTCCTCCAGCTACAAACTATAAAATATTGTAAGCAATATTAATATAAAATGTTATGCTACGATCTACAAATAGTATTATCATCTGCATTCTGTTATCCTCATTCGTGCCGCACTCACTATACTTTTACACATGCCCTATCACCACGTTTAAGCAATCGGTATGCGTCTTTCGATAAATGATACCATTTTTCTCGCATAGAATAAAAAAGTAAGTTTCTATTCCTCCACTTTCTCATTTTTCTGCCGTTCTTTCTTTCTCCCTTTCGATTTCCCTGAGGATAGAATGTACCTTCGAAAATAGTCCTGGCTGGTACTCAGCGTCGAGTTCCGATAAACGCTGGCTAGTAAGAAGGTGGACTATCTTCTCCATTCCTTTCCTTCCGTTCATAAGCAACAAAGTCATTTTTTCACGTTTCCATGATACAACTTGAGAAAAACATTTTCTCGACTCTCTTCATTCATGCACTCACATCCGTTCCAACATTACCACACTCGATCCACTCTTTCCACGATACAAATATCTTATATCACAGACTAAAAAATGCTTTGGTCTAGAAAATTGTCTCTCATACACTGTATATTGATTACCATTATCAAGAACGTAATAAAGTCCTATATGAAAATGACGAAAGTCATGGTACGTGTTATTTTCTATTTCCAGAATTAATTGAAGTGTGTTAATATACCGTCGATACCGATCCTTGTATGTACAGATATATTCACGGTAAAGTAGCGACTCGTCAAGTTGTCGTTCTACGCGCGCGTAGAAAGATTAATAATTATGAAAACGGAAGACGTGTCCTAAACAGATTTCTTCGGCATAGGTTCAATTGTCAATGTCATTCGTATGATGTCGACCCTTACGTTATTTAAAGACATAGCACCCAACGATAAGAATTTTGTGATTCACGTAGAAACACCGTGATACGTGATGAACGATTATTAAAATAATCGTCAGCATTTCGCACACACTTTAAACGTGCAAATGTAACATAAAAATCAACAAGAACGTAGTCAATCTTTATCTTTGTCTTTTTCTTTTCATATGTTATATGATTATAACATTTTATAGTACTCTTACAATTACAACATGTGATATCTCTTAAGGTACTTATTTTTACAAGTAATCCCTCCGTTCGATACTCATTTATTTTCTCATTTAATGATTTTTTATGAATACGCGTTTAGTGCTAATGAAATGGAGCACGCGTAAGTGTTGTACGTATGTATATGTCAAAATGAAGAGTTTACGAAATATGACGAACGAAATAACTTTCTTTTTTAACACAGAGCGACTCTGTCATTAAACCGCACACGTGAACAATAGATAAGTACAAATAAATAAAGGCATTCCAAATAGATATGAGCCTTGGTACTCGAATGCGTCTAGAAGGAAACGAGAAGTACACCAGTGTATTAAAAAAAAAAAAAATAATAATATAAATTCAATATATTCATAGGTCGAGAAATTTCATTATTTATTAACCTCTCAATCGAGTACGAAGGCAAAGAAGAAGTAGCCAATAGGTTAAAACGACCACTCTCCCCCTGCAAGAAACCCATAAGCCTAATGGCCACCGTAACATCCTCATTATAGTAGTACTCAAACAAGTCAAACGAAATAATAACTCCGCGAAGAGAATGTTTTTAATCTTCCAGAAGTTCTACGTAAAATTTTACGACTTATCGATCGTACAGCTTGAAAAGATCTTGATTGTTATTATCTGTATCCCCCTACTATAAATTCGACAAAAAAGACCTCTCGATGCGATTACGCCATTTTCTAAGAACACGCATCGTTCGAATTTCTTCGATTTCAATGGAAATTCGTCTTTACGACGTCAACGGGTATCAATTCTCGGTCTCTCGAGATTTTATACGTTGCTTTAAGCTTTCTTCGCAAGCAGAGCCTCAATCAGTCTCAGTTTGGCTTTCGCTTGCTTATAAGACTCGTACACTGTCGTTACTTGTGGACCGCGATCTTCTCTTTGCATTCGGCGACCCGCTCGAGCTTCGAACTGGACTTCGAGTTCCTTGAGGGCACGACGAAGTTTTTTCTTTTCTTCGCGTGTAGCTCGTTGCTGAATCAGAAGCTCCTCTCTATAAATATGACGGGAAACATTACAGATTCTTGTTTATGAAACTCAATGAAGGCAGAGAAGTTAGATTAAATATACTGACTGTGGCAACGCGTGAAGGCTTTCTCCAACACCGCGACTTCCTTCGCTGCTGCTGTGCTGACTGTCGCTGTCGGTTGGGAATTGTTCGACATTCTCGATGCAGTCGAGAATTCCACGGTGAGACATGTCAGGTTCGCTGGCTCTTCTTTCCCCGTCCGCCGCATTGCCAGGAAGTGTGGACGACGTGAAGTCCATTGCTTCGTGCTCCAGAATAGTCGCGAGTTCAGTCACGCTATCTTTATTTTTATTCTAGAATCCACAAATACACGATGATATTTAAAGTTTGTGGCCTCCTCTAACTATTTGCATTCTACTTGACAAGTGAATGAGACTTACCGGTCCAGCTCTAATCAATAGTCTCTTGAGTGTTCTGTATCTGTCATAGAGTGGTCGCACGATTACTCTATCTTCCTTAGAAACAGCTCTTCCAAAGGCGTTTTCGATGTGAAGAAGAGCCTTCTGAACGGCGGTCTTCTCGTCAAGTAATTGTTCGTAGGTCAATTCCTCCATATTATCCGGTCTGTTACCCTTAAGTCTCTTCTCATTGAGTTTCCGTTCAACTTCCTTGATCATCTCTTCCATGGACGTTGCCCGTGACTTCTCCGGGCTGTTGTTATTGTTCGTTGGACTGCCGGCGTTATTCAGCCTGTTGTTTGCATTCGCCAGAAGCGCACCAATTGGATCTTCTTTGAGTATCTTATGCTCCTTTCTCAGCTTATTAAGCTCCGAGCAGAGTTTCTTGATGTCGCGGTTACTCATTTTGTCAGAGTGACTAGGACGATAGCCAAAGTTCTGTTCGAACTCGTCCTCATACTTTTTGATTTTCTTCTTCAAGCCATTAATGTGTTTAGTCAGAGTTTTGAGACCATGCTCGGTGACATTCGGAACGTTGGATTGAACATCGTTTTCAGAATAAAATCTTCTGGGCACCAGCAACGAGTTCCTTGGTGACAACATGGCTTCCACGCGAGCATCAGTTTCTTCCTCCTATAAGAATAAGAAAATAGGACGAATTTTATATATCACCCATTGCAGAATACATCGAATATTATAGATTGTTCATACTTACCACAGTGCCCTGTCTATGCTGAAAACCCCAGTTCGTCAAACTGGGATTGTTCGTATCATCATGATCGAGGATCGGAGGTCGAACAGGAGATGGTGATCTACTGGGCCCACTGCTTAGCATTTCAAGGAAGCTGGGCCCAGGCGAACCATTGCGACTGTTTGCATTAAGAGACCGGGCATAAATACCCTCGAGTTCCTCCTCGTTTTCTTTACTGGAATTCTGATCGACATCCGAACCTCTGTGAACTTTTCTGCGTCTGGCTTGACGCCTTCCCCGAGGAGTGACACTCCTACTGAAGCGTTCGCTGCTTCTGAGACGCTCGGCGTCGCATTCGAACCTCTCGGAAGCCAGAACAGCATCGCAGGGCGATGGGACCGGCGACGGCTTATTAGAAACCGGAGAAACGTTGGTTCTCTCGTGAAGAGGAAACCCGGCGCACCTCTATAAACGATTCCATCAATTAAATCATCAACGGATCAACGGATAATTAACTGATCTTCCAGTGCCAATGTGATGCATTATATCAGACTCACCACTCCGTGACCCATGTCCGGACCGAGCTGCGATAATAAGTGCAGATGCTTGGCGCTGTTGAAATCCTCGTGACTGCTTACTCTGCGTATCGAATCGGCAGTGTTGGCAGCACTTTCCAAAATGCGCTCTTCACTGTTGCTCCTGTAAAGAGCGTAAGAGATTCTCTTGGTAATCGATCCCGACTGGATGTCGAGGACAGATCCGGTGATGCTCTGGCTGTCGAGATCCAATTAATTACAGCTCGACCGGCCATACCTTATTAGCTTCCTTTCCTGGCAACAAGATTCGCGGCGTTCCTTGCGCTTGCGCGGTTTCAGCGCGCAAAGCAGCGACGTGCTCTCGGATTCCTTGAGCTCGCCCTTAGAGTCCTTGCAGACTTTGCAATCGGTTGAGATCACACCGTACACCGTGGATCCTTTGATACTGCAACAAGAAAGAGCGAACCTTAGTCATTATTCAGAAGGGAAGTTGGAGGCACATGGAAAATATTTTTGTTTTACATCAGTTTACGCTGGGTGGCTTGAAGAAAAACAATAAAGACTTTGCTGGAAGAACCGTTAGAACTTGCGACGTTCCATAGTAGTAATTACCCAAGGAAGGGAAAAGTAATTTGTTAGTTCAGGATTTTTTTTACAGCTTTTAAGACCTGACGTTTATCGTAACGCACAAGCTGTCAATATGGCTAACCGAGTGGCGGCTGGGAGAATTTTTTTAATCAGGCCGATAACAGTCCTCGGGAACGCCGCGGTTGTGAACGAATCATTCTGACTTCCGATTTTGGCCGCAATGCCAATTTAAGCGAGCCAACTCAGTCCGCGACGATACTCTGACCGGCGAGTTCTTTTTTTAGCAAATTACGACAGTCAAGCACGAGCAGTGAGAAACCGCCGCGAAATTTACGTGGTTCGAGCAGATAACGATGACGAGGCGACGGAATGTTCACACGGAGACAGGATGTACGGACGTATATACAGGTAGACACGATTTTCCGTGGTTCAGTCATTTTTCTTTCTCTACTTTCTAGATATCTTTTTCTCGGCTAACTTCATGAAAACCGGAAGTGACTTTCTTGCGCAGTTGGTTAACAGTCGAGTAAAACGATGCATCAGCCTAACAGTCCTCGTGACCGACGAGCGATTTTAATTGCATCAAGCAACGTACCGTCAAGCCTCTAACTGGTTTAATTGATTCTCAATGCAAAAGTGCCTTCCAGTGGGGACAACCGAATGGAAATAAAACTTCTTCAAAGCGCATAGGTCTACCGAAAGTTTTTGATGAAAGTACTGCCACATCGATCGATCAGCAGTGTTTTATAAGTAGCGTTCGAGATATCACTAATATTTAAAAATCAATTAGTGACGATAAACGAATAGAACTGTTTGCGAATGTCATTCGCGTGGAAACGACAATTAGCACAAATCAGCACAAATGAAGATGGATTCCAGACAAATGTTTGCGAGACTATATTCATGATATTAATGCGAAATTAATCCAAGCTTTACAAAAAATATCTCTGCCTAACCCCAATCTGAATTCGAAATTATTAATTATCGAGTCCATACCGACACGTGTCTACCTATTGGCGAAAGATCTCTGACAATGAGACGGCATATATTTTGCCGTGTTATTCGCTATACCGTCTCAGCTACCTTTCACCTATATATAATATACATAGTCGATCTTTTATTTATATGCATAAACTGACAGATGATGTACATCAGAATATTATTATTGAGCAATCCGAATATTTATTCGGCATTATCGACTACTATACTATTATAACCTAAAGCTACCAAGCGGACATTACGCGACTGAAATGCGAGCGGAAGGCAAACGTTCCGTTATGGAGATGAACGTAAGCATGTTGCAACTGTATGGCGAAGAACATAAAGGACACAGAAAACGTCGACACTCGAGTAACCCAATAGATAAAGTTAAGAGGATCGGGATGATACGTGCTGCTTCCCGTTACTGATAAAACGAACGAAGTAGATGAAGATAATAATTAATTAGAGTAAAATGTAAAAGGAAAAGCATTGAGGAAAAAGCGATAAAAAATTAACAAGTATTTGGATATGTGTTTAGAGGTATGTATGATCACGTAATAATATGGATTCTACCTACATGTAGTTTGTAGTCTCTGGGTAGATTTATATTTCCTTTCTTGAGCGACGAATATTCATGTGATCGTGAACACTAACTTTCTTTTCCAATAGCGAACCGCTGGTGTAAATACGAATCTTTCTACGATTCTAGGAAACATTTATGGTTGCCTAGTTGAGAAAGGGCTGCGACCGGTCGATTCACAAGATCACTAGAGAGACACGCGTTGCTGTTTTATGCCACAAGAGGATCATGAATCCTCGAAATGATTACCAACACGGTAACGAAAAGAATAACGAGGATCGAGTAACGAAGGAAAAGAATCTAAGTTGCGATCGACGGAATCGTAACTGCACGATTTCACGAGTTTGCTCGACGAGCGAACACTAAAGCCGTTGGTCGATAGCGCGCGAAGTCTGCTGACTGCTGACTTTCTAACTGCTCCTCCTGTCGGAGAACGAATGAGCGTCGCGACTGGTGCCGGCAACTGACCGTCCTACGTCTATATTGGTAACGCGTGTGAACCTCGCATAAGAGTATGCGAGCATTTGATAGGAGACTGCGAGTGTATGGTGGACACGCATGGTACAAGCCAGGGACGACTCAATAACAAACAAGGCCCCTGATTACGATTCCTGCTTCTTGCCGGTTCGTCATTATTTTTCGACCTTTTTAGTTACAGGATGCAAAGGTGTCCAGAGGATGGTCATGATACCGATGATGATCCTCAGGGTCAACCGGGATGCGAGCAAACCTACCTTGAATCTTTATATATATATTTTTCCTTCAAATTCCAAAAGAGGTAAAGGCTGTGCGACGAGGGTACGTAATACGCTTTATGGGGTCTCGTAAATATCATGGAAAGATTTTACCGTCGTCTTCATCTTTTTATACCTTTTTTTCTATCGTCAGTGGGCGACAAGTACCTTCGGCACGCGTTCAGATTTCTGTCAGGAAAAAAAAAAGGAGATTTGAAACCGGTTCGCCAAACCTCGACATCCTTACGGACGAAGGAGGCAGTGTTGCTCCTCGATAATTCCTCGTATGTACGTACATACATGTACGTACACGTCTATCCACGGTGTCTATCATTGGGTCGCAATTCTATATTAGCACTAAGCGATAAGTGTGGCGGCCAACTATGGGTCTAAAATCGGGCCAGACGAGACGTACGTCAAAACTTTGCACACGATTCATCATTCTTTCTCCGTGCAGTTGTTCTCTAGTTTCTATTTATTTTTTTTTCTCGTTATTAATAACTTTTGGCACGTGATGATTTTGAAAAGTCGATGACACGTGTAAAATTAGTCTCTCACATTGACGTCAAACGATCATATGATTGTTGAGGCTCGTACTCGTGACGTTATCAGTAACCCTTTATCGTCGTTGGCTTTTCCATCACAACGTAACTATTGAGATAAAAAAAAAAGTAATCGAAGAGACCGATCTCTATCTCAGAGATATAACTATCCTCGGCTCCTGTATTTCTATCTATATATGCGTATATAAATAAATCCATCGTTAATTAGCAGCTAGATGCTGCCCATCAAATCGGATGGATTCTTCCGACGCAGCCTCCCGGTACGCATGCATATGTCTAATCCAAGCGCCACTGACGTCAGACCGACTATTTCAGGCTCCCCCGTGTATTTGCGTTTGGCAGTCTCGTAAATTTGATGGCAATTAAAGGCAGACGTGCATCCGCATCGCTACGATAAAGTTCCTCGGTATTGAATCCAATCGTTGCAACTTTCTTTCAAAGAACGAGCAATTCCCATTCTTATCATTTATGTCAAAACGTTTGGCGGTTTGTTTCGTCAATTGATTCATTTTTCAAAAATTTCAATTTCAATCGATCCATCAGTTACGATTAACGGAAAGTTTGAGCCACTGGTGGATCATTTCGGGAAATTGAATTTCCTCGGGCTGTTCCTGATTTCGGCAGAACGTTTTGCTGCGAAACGAGAAACGAACCCCTGTAGTTACTGTGTCGTCGAGTGTTGCCAACTTTTGTAAAATTTGGAGTCTACGAACGGACGAAGAGAAGCAGAGAAGCGATACGATTTTTCCTCTCATTATTTTACTTTTCATTTTCCTTTTCTCCAGCACTCTGTAACTCAGAAGAAAGAAGCAAGCGAATCCGACCTTGTGCTACTGGCCTATTTAAATCGACACATTTATCGAAAATGTCCATAAACGTGGATGCGTCTATCTAGGAGGGAAAAAAAAAAAATTATGTAGGTCGGACGTCGCTGTGCGTGGAAAGTCGCCCCAAGTGAAAGAATCGGAGACACGAGAGCGAGTGAGATGGTTAAATAAAAATATTAAGTTACTAGTATAACAATTGGCGAATGTTTGGAAAAATTAGATAACGGAACACACAGCGGAGAAATACTGGCGACTCGTTAATGAGTCTCGAGGAAGGTGTTGATACAGCAGATTCGCAGAATTACGCAGTCATTTGAACGTCTATTTTTATCCAAAGACTCGCGACCAATTCGAACTGGTTTTTTCTCCTTAACGCGTTGGCATTACGTGTTTTTATGTAGCTGTGGATAGTTTTGGCCTGTCACGTGTATTTTACACGCATCTGCGGCTACTTGTCATTAAACTTCGAGGCACTCACACGACAACCGTCTTCAATAGGATGGGTTACGTCATCTTTGGATGAGGGCCTCAAGGATCGGCGTCTCTCAGCTGTCTACTTTGGCGCAGTCGCTAGTCGTGCCACCGGCTTCCAACTAATACATAATCGCGCAAATCATCGTGATCCTCAACCAGAAATGACTCACAATGACATTTACGTCGCCTGACTTACACACGAGGGTGGGCGTCCTCAAAAATCAAATCGTACCGATAGAGAGACTGCCGTATATGTCACGTAGCATCTATTTTTCTTTGTTTTTGTTTGTGTGTATATATATATATATACATGTCAACACATTCCTGTCGCTGATTTTTTGCAAAAAAGTCATTCAAGAATGCTGGAGCATCGAATCCTTCGAGTCATTCCGTTCTTCGCTCTTTCGGAAACTTTCCAATAATTCAGGAACGTACATAGCGGCTTACTTGGTCTGAGCGGAAGAGTCAGGGTCGCGAACCGATCCGTTAAAGCTATTACCGATACTTTCCAAGGCTTCGCCTATTATCTCTCTCTCTCTCTCTCTCGCTTGTATTTTTTTAAATCTCTCTTTGACACTTCGTTAATCGAGAACCAAGTGCGAAGTTTTGATTTGATTATGAATAAGGACGCTCATCCCCGTATCAATTATCAAATCGACTGTCACCCGACGGACACTTATTTTTTTATCTTGAAAGCA